CCTAGTCTTAATCAGTGATTCTTTCATACTTTCCTCAGGGGTGGGGGGGGGGGGGGGGCTCTGGCAGAAGTATATATTATTTTGTATATAAAAGCTATTTTCGTTGTATGCTTCGGGGGTTAGGGCTAAAGTAGGCCTACATAGTAGTCTACATTTTGTTTCATCTTAATTCATGTTCCTTTCATGCACGATGTAGCTCGCGTAGCATTCTATCTTTTGCCGTGAAGCTTCAACTAGTGCAAACGTTCTTCAAACAAACGCTATGCCTATGCTGGCCTATGTCATCTGAAACCTACAGCGGCCCTACTTCTAGACAACAGGATTAGCCTCGTAGGGGCCTTACAAGTCTATACACTTCTTAGAACTCTCATGATGAAACACGGATGCTATGGCTTAGAGATTGCGCAATCGACCAACGTGATCGGTGTTAGGCGCAGGCGATTTTAGAATCATTTTTCGCTTAATTCTGTAACCTAGATCTAATTTCTGTTGAGGTTTACTTTACTATAGGCTCTAGGGCCTACTCCGGACAATCGTCTTCCTTATCCTAACTAAACATAACTATCGACTGACTCCTAACCTGACCGTTACACACACTACATTCTGGGGGTCTGTTGATTTACTACACCCCATTAAAAATCCAATAGTGACCTCTTTTTAAATACTTTGGTCTATATAAATTATAATCCCTTTGCTATAGGCTAGATATATATGCCTATATGGTGTATGATTAGGTGTTTTATGCTCGTTGTTTAGGCTTGCGTACTGTCAGTGTCAATGGTTCATTGTGTAAGAGGCGGGGCTAGAGACACGGAGGGGGAACAAGGGGAAGAATCCGAAAACGTACGGACTTAATTTTTTTTTTAAAAGACCGGATAACTGATCAATTTTGATACTGTTAGAAACTGTCGCAAATCTAAAACGAGCACAGCAGGAAATAAACAAGACGTCGATCTAGGAATCGAGGTTTTGTAAGTAGAAATCTATAATAGATCTAGATCTAGTCTCTAGAATCTATGTACTATCATTATGTAAACATCACTGCACTTGTTTCCAATAGTTTCATGTTGTTTCTTGATGTAAGACGTGGCATATTAAATTAATTAGTATTGTGTGTAGGGCCTATTGCCGGTAATCTATCGTTTTGGGTACGTAAAATCGCCCGCGATTTGTAATGTAAAAAACAGGTGACTCCTTAAATTTTAATAATTATTTCACATTATGGGGAGGATTTATGTTTTAAAAAATTCAAAAATGTTTCCTTGATTCATTTATGTACCTGTTTTTAAACAATTGAATTAAAACTTTCCCGTAATAAATGAAGACTAGCGATGTTTCCAACAGATGCAACCATGCTTATTTACTATAGCAGCCATCTTGTCTAAGTTTAATTTTTATAAACTTTTAGCGCCAGATTCAGGGGGAAGCCACTCTATTTTACAAATGGCTGCTGTTTACATATTACATAGCAAATCTTGCTCTCAGACACTGCTGTTTAAAGTTAATTTCTGGCCTATATCGATATATTTAGCCATTGATTTAGGTTTATTATTCATTTATCTATAATATTTGACACAAAAGTACGACAATATACTTCTATTAAAGCCTTGACAATGAGGTAACGTTTTCGTACATAAATAGCCGCGGGCGATTTTACGTACCCAAAACGATAGATTACCCTATTGCCGTATTGGGGAAGGTGATTTTTTTAGTTTAAAAAAATAGGTAATCTATCGTTTTGGGTACGTAAAATCGCCGGCGGCTATTAATGTACGAAAACGTTACCTCATTGTCAAGGCTGTAATAGAAGTATATTGTGATATGTTTATGTCAAATATTATAGATAAATGGATAATAAACCTAAATCAATGGCTAAATATTAAATATATCAATATAGGCCAGAAATTAACTTTAAACAGCAGTGTCTGCAAGCAAGATTTGCTATATAAACAGCAGCCATTTGTAAAATAGAGTGACTTCCGCCTGAATCTTGCGCTTTAAGTCTATAAAAATAAAACTTTTACAAGATGGCTGCTATAGTAAATGAGCATGGTTGCATCTGTTGGAAACATCGCTAGTCTTCATTTATTACTGAAAAGTTTTAATTCAATTGTTTAAAAACAGGTACATAAATGAAACAAGGAAACATTTTTGTATTTTTAAAACATAAATCCTCCTCAAAATGTGAAATAATTATTAAAATGTAAGGAGTCACCTGTTTTTCACATTACTAGTCGCGGGCGATTTTACGTACCCAAAACGATAGATTACCAAAAAATATTTAGGCCTAATATTTAATATTAGTTTGGTTAGCCTAAGTATTAATAAAGTAGGCTATTAAGTCTAAGTGTAGTGAACTGTAGTGTAGAGAGAAAGTCATATTTTTTAAATTTTAAATTAAAATAAATTATTTAAATTAAGAATTTTAATTTTAGGCCAAGGCAGACTACGGCACGGCAGGCTTACTAAAATACTATACTATGCCTTACACCGCGTTTACACTTACAACATATAGGCCTATACTAGACTTGACCTACTAAAGTGTTTTCTAAACATGTTACGATTTTATATATGGAACATCATTCTGAGTCGCAGGGCACAAAACCACGCCCCTTTTTATGTTCTGGGTCAAGTTTTTGTCTTCGCTCGCTGCGCGAAAACATAAAACATGTTCTCAATTTTCAGTTGAGTGCGCATGCGTCGAAAAGTAGTAAACGCATCCTAGGTATCAGCTGATTGCAAAATCAAATATACTGATCTTAAGTTTTTGAGCACACAATTTCATGATTTATAACTTCTGTAGGCCCTGCTAAAAATTAAATTTTTATAATTACTTATTATTTCTTTAATTAAATCCCAAACAGGTTTAATGAAAAAATGTAATGTCTAAGGCATTACAATTTTGCATTAAAACCAGTTTAGGTATTAATTATGAAAATAATAATTAATTAAAAAATATAATTTAACCAAATGTATCTCCAATTTTTCCTTGACCAATATTTTGTGTATAAACATATTTTCAGTTTCCGTCTGACATGAATAAATCAATAGACCCCCAGAATGTACTGGTGGGATCACACAATCAACTGACTATAAAAACTGGCAGATAAAAAAGTCAAAGGCTAATTATTTAGGTTTAAAATGGGACATAATTAACATAAAGAAACTAGGGGAGGGGAGGGGGAATGAGTGTCATAGGCCCTACTCTAAAAACTAGATCCTCTTCTTTTCTTAATAATAGACTAGTTATAACGCGATCTCATTACGTTTAATGAACTTGGCAGATGCAAGTTTTCGAAGAAATCGGGCCTTTCAGCAAACAAATATTTAGCCCTGTTAATTCGAAGCTGTTTCTGCAGGATAAAGACAAGCAAAGAAGCTGGAGAAATGGCTACCATGGGGTTGGGGTGGGAAGGGGTGATTCTACTGTGGGATGGGTAATGTCTACAACCCGCGCTATTCTACACAGCATTAAATTTATAAAAACTGTCTAGCTCTAGTTGCTGACACTCTAATAAAATTTATAAAATCTTGCATGTTCTCTAATTTTTAGATAATTTATTGTTGAATCACAAGCCCCGTGGCAACACCATTTTCCTTTTTAAAAAAATAAAGCTGCGTGTCCACTATCTAAGTTTTTTTATACTTTGATTACTCTTTATTTCAATTATCTGGGCCTTTATCGCAGACGCTCCGGGTCAAAGGTGATGCATGTTTTATAAAATGATCTATAACATGTTTTGTAAGTGTGAGTGCTAAAGTATATATGTTCTTTGGATAAAATTGTTCCAGATAAAAATAATTTTTGGCGGGCATTGTGTTCCACAAATTTATAGCATCCATGTCGTAAGTGTAAACGCCGTGTTACAAATACTAAGCTTACTTTTAAACTTTAATTAACCTAAACTTTAAGTTTAACTGCAGTTGTACTTTCATGGTGATTACATGAATTACAATTGGTTAAATGAGGTGAGGAATATTGAGGGGAGGGCAGTGTTAGGCCTTCTGATTCCTCTTTGATCTCCTCCCTGCTGGACCATGATGGTCATAATAAAAACATAAGACATAACAAGCCATCTCTGCTGAGCTGAGATTGAGATCTAAGAACAGACTTCTATGTTACCTGCCAAAGGATTAGAAATTTTATGGTGGGTTAAAAACATTCGGGGCAAGCAGTTGTTTTATTGCCCCTGTAAAGATCTCAATTATTAATTTGCTCCTGAGGCAACAAGAGCCAAATAACAAAAAAATGTTATAACTTTCTGAAAATGCAAGCTAGTGGACAAATTTAATGTATTCATGTAGATTTAGTTATATCTAACAAATAAAACCATTATGTTTTGTTTTGGTATGAACAATCACTCACACTGTGCAAAAAAAAAAATCACCAAAATAAAGCTATTCTAAAGTTATAAAAATTGTGTTAAAATGTACAGTGACCAATGCTTGAAAACATGAACAAAGAACAGCATTTAAAAAGTCATTTGGTTTATTACAAAATGAAGTTTCCTTACATTATGTCCATTTGGAAAAAAAAGTTCACAATATGTTTTTATGTGAGTGAGAGATTTTGAGGAAAGAGCAATGTAATCGATTCCTGTTTCACCTTCTCCCTGCTGGGCCACGTGGGTCATAAATTAAATAAGAAGAATCATCTGCTTCTCTGTTAACAGCAGTGGTTGTTACCTTAGAATTTGATTAGCAGTTTTATTGTGGGGGTGGGGTGCTGACTGGGTACTAATACCACACTGCTCTTAGTGTCCTGCTTTACCATATTAAATAAGTTAGGTTCCTATCCTAGTAAATTTAACTATAATTAACTATATGTAGTATTTATTTCACTTGACCAAGGGCCTAACTTAATAGTTCTCTTATAGGAATCTAAAAAATTATAAGGCTGGAGGACCTTATAGTTTTTTAGAAATCCTTTTAGAAATAATTATTTTAAAAAAATAATTGATCTAGAATCTAGAAATTGTTGTTTTGTTTGAATGATTTATGCCCTATATGTTTCAGAGAACTTAATAATAGCTGAAGGACAATATAGGTCTAGGTTCTAGCATAGATCTAGTATATCATGTGTGGTAAGTTGATTTACTTATACTTCAACAAATCAATCTAAAATATATAATTATGGTAGGCCTAAATAAATTTTATGATTATTAAATTATATAAACTCAATTTTTTTACACCTATGGACAGCAGTAAGAGGTGTAAGTTATCTGTCTGTAAGCTATTTACATTATGCTTTCTTTCCTACAGGAATTTTTGCATATTTGAACTACCTAGTTCCTGCCACTAGAAAAGAAATTCTTGATATTCTCATCAATGGATTGAAGCGCATGGAATACAGAGGCTATGATTCAGCTGGTAAGTTATCATTCATTCATTATAATTTATAAATTAATTATAGGTTGGAGACAAGGCTTTCTGTAGCTTTAGAACAGGTTTATTGTGAAATTTTTTGGACTAACTTAATCATAGGATAACATAATTAAATAAGGTTTATCAATACTTATTTTTGCATCTCACAGGTTTAGCTGTTGAAGGATCAGAGAATGAACAGGAATGCTCCATCAAGATTATTAAACAAAAAGGAAAAGTTGCAGCTCTTGAGAAGCTGGTTGCAGGTTAGACATGCTTTCTTTATTAACTTGACATTATCACAGGACCAGGCAGATACATTTCAGACCTTAGTAGATCCAATCCATTTGGGGTGGACTCAGGCATGTCCTACAGACTTGAGCCAGAGAACTCAAGACTTAATACTCACATTTTAAAAATGTAGTTTGCAGAATCTTCAACCTGTAATTTGTTTTAATCTGTATCCTTAAAGGGTCTGGGTCAAGACTGTATCAATAAACAAAAATGCTACTTTTGTTAACCATTTAATGGCCAAATTAGCTTGGTGTGAATGTGCCCACTGCATTTAGATTTGAAGATGTTTTATTTATTTTGACATTGATTAGATTTGACTCATAAAATAATTCTAAAATGTGTGACTTTAACAAGGGTTATTATTAAAATTGTGTGATTAAGTCCAATTATATAATCTTTTCCCTTGGCTCTTTCCTCCAATTTTGCAGATCACTGGCAATTTTCTTAGCAGTCCCCCAGGATAGTCACAATTATATAATGCTTCTTTAAACCATCTGATGTGGCCTTTTTTTGCTTTATTGTATTTTAAACAAACATTTACTTAACAGAAACCAAAGATTTAGATTATGATAAAATCTTTAACATCCATGTTGGAATTGCCCACACACGTTGGGCCACCCATGGTCAACCAAGCCCCATCAATGCACATCCTCAAAGATCTGACCCCAACAACGGTAAGTCTGTTTAAGTAATATTAGTCTTTAATTATGTTGTTTAATCACATGGTTTTTCTAAAAAAATATTTGGCATTGAGCTGTATAGTGTTAAAGTGATAATTTTAACATCTTTGTATTTTAAGGAATGCAAAAAGCATGAATAAGTTTAACACCTTTATGTTTTAAGGAATGCAAAAAGCATGAACAAACGTTGTTAAAGAAATCTATTTTTGCTTAAAAATGACTTTAGTACATAATGTTCGGCATTAGTTCTTAGTTCTATGAAAACATTGCTTTTTGAGACAAAATGAAATACATTGTATAACTTTTGAAATTGTTTTGTCGTCTTTTTAACACCAATTTTTTTTTTTTCAGAATTTGCTATAATTCACAATGGAATTATTACAAACTACAAGGACATTAAATCATTTCTAGTAGGTTTTAAAAAACTAAACATTTACACTTTTATTAAAGCTGTTTTTAGTGCAGTTTGATTTAATTGTGTGAGAGTTTTCTAGTCTCTTGAAATGAATAGACCTCATTATCTTAGAGTAAATGGAATTGTTTTCTTGTATCCAAAGCTACAAAAAGGTTTTGAGTTTGAGACCGAGACTGACACAGAGGTTGTGGCAAAGCTGATTAAACACTTGTACGACACACATAGCGAGCAGAAGTTAAAATTCAGAGAATTGATTGAAATGACCATCACTCAACTTGTAAGTGCTGTTTACTTTCCAAATTATTTAACTTATTATTGAAAGTATTTGTTAAAGTGATGTCATGGATATTCATCAGTTTAACAAACTGGATCCCCTTCATCTTACTCAGTTTTAATAACTAAACTAATTGTTTAATTCTTTTTCTCAGGAAGGAGCATTTGCAATAGCAGTAATGAGCAAACACTATCCTGGAGACATAGTAGCTACAAGGTCCTGTAGTTTTTGTTTTTGTAAAAAAATGGACAGAGCCATAGGTCTTTGTAGTTTTTGTTTATGTAGACTGGGGACATAGTAGCCATGAGGTCTTGTAGTTTTTGTTTATTTAGAATGGGGACATAGTATCCTTAAGGTCTTTATTTTTTGTTTATATAGCCTGGGGACATAGTAGCCATGAGGTCCTGTAGTTTTTGTTTTTGTAGAGACATAGTAGCATTAATGTCTAGTAGTTTTAGTTTATGCAGGATGGAAAATAGTAGTCACAAGGTCTTATAGGTTTTGTTAATGTAGGAAAAATCTTTATTAGTAAAGTAAAGCATAAAAGTAAAATTTCCCTTTTGGAATTGACGGTCTGTAGGGCAGATGAAGTTCATCTGTTGCTAGATAATTTGGTGAGCATTATGCTCAGCTTGTTTTACATTCTGTGGCAAAAGTCAGGTACCCACCAGAGTTGGGTGGACTCAAGGACATCCTCCATACTTAAGTTTGAGATCCGAACTTGATAATTGTGGGTTAGCACTCTAACGCTCTACTGCTTGACCATGCTGTCTTGAAGTAAAACATGATGTTGCTAAACATTGTTTTGATTGTTTAACTGACATGTTGCTAAACATTGTTTTGTTTGTTCTAACAGACGTGGCAGTCCTTTACTGATTGGTGTAAAGAGTAAAACCAAACTGAGCACGGATAATATACCTGTTCTTTACGCAAAAGGTAAGCTTCATGAACATGTTGATATTACCATTGTAACTTTATTAATCATTTATGTGAACTTTGAGCACTTAACTGAAGCTTAATGTTGTGTATTGAGATGATTTAAATTTTTCATCTGTTTCTAATAACATTGAGAATTAAAAGATTAATTAAATCCTGTATACAGGTTTAAATGAGTTATACATGTACGGTATTGGTTTTATTTGCTTCTGTTTGTTGTTACAGCCCAGCTACTTGATAAAAGTAAGAAAATTCTAGGGGTTTAAAAGTAGTTTGGTAGTTGTGAGTTGTTTAACTTGATAATGAAAGCAAGAAACATAAAAGAATGCACATGACACTAGTAAAATATCATTTAATGCATTGTTGATTTTAGATGACTTTGAAAGCTATATTTTGTTTACAAAAAAAAGGATTAAAGGATAATCTTTTGTCCTCCCTACTGAAGATTACTCTGTGTGGTAGTCATCATTATATGTGTTGACAGCTGGAGGTTCCTTTCAGTGTTCAATGAAATATTATAATAATACCTGTATTGAGTACATTTTCTCTTTTTGAAAATTGTCACAGTTCAAATTTTATGTCAGTTCACTCTCACCTATGTTTAAACATGGTATAAAGGTTGCTTACATAGTTTTTCTTAGTAAACAAAAATTCTTTAGAATTTTGTCCTTACTTGTTAACAATTTTAAAATTATATATTTTTAATATGCATTTTAAAATGCTTTTTATATAGCTTTTAAAATCTGCTTACTTCTACCTTTATTGATTATCAAATTATTAAAATTGTGTATTCAACGTCTGTTTTGACGTAGCAATTTTTGTAAAACTATTTCTATGTTGATTTTTTTTTCTGAATCACAAAATCAAGGAGAAAAGTTTTTGTACCAAAAAATAACTAACAAATAGAAATGTTTTTGTTTCACCCACAAAAAATGAATAAGACATAGATGTTGTAGAAAATAATTATTTTCACAAATATATGCTTTGTTAGTAATTAATTAGCTAAGTTGTAGGATTTTGATATAACAGTCAAACCTTGGGTTGTGAGTTATTTTGTTAGTGGTGTTTTCATAGGTAATGAAAATTTTGAAAATCTTATATCCATTCTTTGCCATGCTAAACTGCCTTTTCATAAGATCAGCACATTTTCTTCTTTCATAAGAAAGTCAAATGTTTTTAAGATGAGAAGATGGTTTCTATTCTTTGCCCTAATGTATATGAATGTCTTGCCTTTAATCAAAGTGTAAACACCATTTACTAATATAGTGATAGCAGACACTGTTATGAAAAGGACATAGTTTAGAAAACAAGTGGGTAAAAAGAAAGAAAAGCTAACTCACTTAGAAGAGGAGTTATGCAAGGTACAGACAAGATTTTATTAGAGTTAAGGTGTTAAGACAATTCAGTGTCATGTACCAGAAATTAACTATTAGAAAGCCGAAAGTGTCTTTGGATTGTTGCTAAAAGTTTCACAGAAAGGGCAAGAATTACATGGTAGAATTGTGTTGACAATAAGTTGTGATTAAGTTAGTAGGATTAATCAGTATGATTAATTTAAGAAATGTGTTAATCCATTGTCAAAAAAAAGTTCTTGTTTAGCATGTAATCACTTGAGATTCCACAGCATGTAATACTTGAGATTGCTTAAGATTATAACAAAGTTTCATGAACAGATAATATTTGGCAAATCCAAGGTTTGACTGTATTGCTAAGTTATTAGAAATTTATAATTTTAAGGGCACACACTTCAGTTTTTGTGTAATCTTCCAAAGATAGTAGCAAATTGTTATATCAGTATTAATTTTATGATCACCATGTTGAAGTTGGTATTTTAGTTTTATCCAGTAAAATTTGTAAACATTTAAATTATTAATTGTATAATAATTTGTCACATTGTAAGGTTAAGAATTTTTTTGTTCTAGTGTTCTAAGTATTTTCAAATATTTTAAAATTGCCATTTAAAAATATGATAAATTGTTTCTTAAGCATTTGCTTTATGCTTCAGTGGAGCACCAAAGTGGGAATATAGCATTACTTCATGCATGTTTTTCTCTCTCAACCATATTTATACAAATCAGAGTTAGGATATTTTTCTTTCAAGTTGGGTCCTGATTGTGTACTTTATTATCAGCGTCAAATAGGGCAAAAAACAATTTAGCTTTATGGTGTTAATGACTAACCATTTATGAATTTTAAAAATATTAATGTCAGTAATTACTTTTATCATGCAATTTGGTGTTTTTTATTAACAGAAATGAATAATGTAAAGAAGTGTAGGGGTTGATTTTTAAAAAAAATCTTTTGAAGCTGCTAGATATATATAAAAAAATTAATAGCTGTTGTGTATATAGTGGATAAAATAAATATCCCCGCTGATGCCTGTCCTACTTGTTTCCCCGCTGATGCCTGTCCTACTTGTTTCTCTTGTCCAACCAACCAGACCACCGAGGGATGTTGGGCAGCAGCCATGGGAGGAGAGATGAAGACACAGAGTACGTCCCCGTGGGACCCCACAGAGAGATTGAATACTTCTTTGCCTCAGATGCAAGGTGAGTTCTTTCACGTTTAGCCCCAGTATGACCACATAGAGACCACTTTTAGGTATCCTATGCAAAGTTTACCACATCATAAATCTACATTTGAAGCCTATAAAAATTATTTCAATTTTATATTATGCTTTAAAGTTTAAATACAAAACTTAGAATTATTTGTTACAAATGTTTTTGTTATTAAAAAGAAAAACCAAAATAAATTTTTAAAGTACATAATGAATAACACATGCATCTTAGTCTGATAATATGGTTGCCTAAATTGATAGGTGTTGCATTTATGAAACAATTTTACAGTGCATTTATAGAGCACACAAACCAGGTGATCTTCCTTGAAGAGAATGATGTTGCATCTGTCCATGAAGGGATCCTCAATATACATCGTGTGTCTCGGACCTTAGATGAAAGAACATACAGAGAAGTTATTACACTGAAAATGGAAATCGAGCAAATTATGAAGGGTCAGTCAACATTGCTTTTCTACAGTTGAGGCATAATATTTCCTTTGATGTTTTTAGAACTGCCATGTATTTAGAACATGTTTTTATTTGACTAATTTGTACACCACAATAGGCTTACTGATATGGTAAATTTTCTACATAGTGTCTGTATTTTATTAATAGTTTGACATCTTTATTGTTTTCTTGTTGTTGAAAGATTGACTGGACTACTGTTTAGTTTATTTTAATTATTTTTTGTTATTTCATTTCTCTAGCTAAAACAATTATTTTAATTCAACCCATTATTTTACTATGGGCAACTTGAGCTTAATGTCTTGTTCTGTTTCAGGTAACTTCAGTTCGTTCATGCAGAAAGAAATCTTTGAACAACCTGAGTCTGTAGTTAACACAATGAGAGGCCGTGTGAACTTTGACACCAAGGAAGTTGTGTTGGGTGGAATCAAGGATTACATGGCAGAAATCAGAAGGTGTAGGAGGCTACTTTTTATTGCTTGTGGTACCAGCTACCACAGTACTATTGCAGTGAGTTACAGGGATGTTTGACATTACTAAAAAGTGTAATAAAAAAAAGTTTTGTTACAAATATTGACAAAGTGAAAAATATTTTTGGAATAATTAGGCCCTAAACAAAATGAATTATACTAATAAAGATAATTGTTGACTACAGACTAGATGAGTTAGACTAATGAAGACAAATGTTGATGTAAGTGTAAGACTAGATGAGTTAGACTAATGAAGATAATTGTTGACGTTAGAGTTAAACTAATGAAGATAATTGCTGATGTCAGACCAGACAACTCCTTGAGGAACTGACAGAGTTGCCTGTGATGGTGGAACTGGCCAGTGATTTCCTGGACAGGAACACGCCCATATTCAGGGATGATGTTGTCTTTTTTCTCAGTCAGTCAGGTGAGACATTGTATTGAATCTCATTCTTTATCAGTTGTGTTCTGGTGTCATTCTTTTATTCAAAGTTTACAAAAATAATAATGCATTTAAACAAAAATTTTAAAAAGGCTCAAGTTTTGATGCAGAAGTATTAAGTCTTTAATCTAAAGTTGAGAGCTATTTGCTTGAAGTGACAGAGTTGTTACCTAAGCATAAAATTTTACTTTAAAATCTTACAAGTAAACAACAGCTCATCATGATATCTGAAACTTAATCTTTCATTTGTAGCATGCCACTGTAAACAAACCTCTACTTTTCACTCTGTTTAGGGTAACTCCTTTACAAGTAACTTGTCATTTACTTTCAACTGATCTGTTTTAATCTAACCTCTTTCAAAAAATTATTTGTAAATTATATGGGTCTATGTGCAATAAAGTGCTAGACTGCGAACCCCAAAAATCTTGAGTTCAAATCAGAGTTTAAGTCAGTAGAGTGTCCCTGAGTCCACCTAGCTCTGATGGCTACCTGCCTAATGTTAGGGAAACTAAAGGCTTCTGGGCACAGTGCTGACCACACTATCCCTTCATATGCATAGGTCTTAGAAACAGGTGAACTCTACTTCACATGCCGCATGGACCGTCAGATTCTTAAAGGAAACATTACTTACTTTCTAAATGATAAAATCTTAATAATCCATTTCTTGTAAATATCCAGGTGAGACAGCTGACACGCTGCTTGCCCTCAGGTACTGTAAACAGAGGGGAGCTCTTATTGTTGGAATCACAAATGTTGTTGGTTCCAGCATCTCCAGGGAGTCCAACTGTGGGGTACACATCAACGCAGGGCCGGAGATTGGTGTGGCCAGTACTAAGGTGAGAAATGTTGGCCTCAGCTCATGGGGGTTTTATATAAAGTAATATAAAAAAATGCTGCTAGTTAACTACTTTTAACTAGTTTGAATAGAAATGGGTCTTTTGAAATTTTAAAATGCTACCCTTTAGTTCAAAAGGGTTTTTTAACATTTAATAATTAGTGTACAGTTTATGGTGGTTAAAACATAAGAAATTTACTTACAAAATATTAATGTATGTCATAGCAACAGATTCATTTTACTTATACACTCAAAAATGCTTTGTATGCTTACATTTTAGATATGTAATGGAATCAGTTGTCTAATTTTTGTTAATATTTTAAAAACAAAACTGACTAATGTTTCAGGCTTACACCAGTCAGTTTATCTCCCTTGTATTGTTTGCTCTTGTCATGAGTGAGGACAGAATCTCTATGCAACAAAGGAGACATGAGATCATTGAAGGCTTGAAGAATCTCCCTGGTGAGATCTGTTTGTTGATACAATATTTGTTCTGTACTGGTCTGTCTTCTACACAACATACTGCCTTGGTCACTTCACACATTATTTGGTGGTCAGGTGTTAGCAGTTGAAATGTATGGTTCACTTTCTTCCATATGTAAATCATAAAGCTATAAGAAAGAAGTTTTGAAAAGATTTTATACAGATTTTCCTACTTTACTTACCAACAACATGAAAATAACTTAGGCTAGTGGAATGTAAAATAATAGTGATTCAATAACAGTACATTTTATATAACCTTATCATCCAGAATTTTTAAACACAAAAAGATGCCTTAAAAATCTTTTTTTTTTCTTTTTTTTTTAATACTAATTTACTATTTAAAGGTTTTAGGCTGCTTATAAAATAATTGTGTTACTGATTTGTTTAACCTGCTAAAGTTTTTTTTTTGTTGCAGAACAAATAAAGGCAGTTTTAGCCAAAGATGACAAGATCCATAGTTTAGCTAAGGAGCTTCATACCCAGAAATCACTTTTGGTCATGGGGCGTGGATACAATTATGCTACATGCTTAGAAGGGGCCTTGGTAATTTAATTGTTTTTTTCTTTAGATAAATCTCTAAATGTTAGAAATAGATTACTTTTTGTATCCTGTTACTATAAAAATGTATTGGGAAATTAATTACTTGTTCATAATGTTAGAAATAGATTACTTGTTGTATCCTGTTACTATAAAAATGTATTGGGAAATTAATTTCTTGTTTATAATGGGTTTTTTTTTAGTAGGCAAAATGTTAATTATTTGTTCATATATTACCAACATAAATTTAATAATTTAATTTTTTGAACCCATTTGTTTACCACTATAACTTTTATGTTTTTAAACATTGTTTATAGTGTTTTTATTTTGTTAACATTTTTGTTTTTTAATTTTGTTTGCAGTTTTTTAGCCAGTTCAGCTTTTGTTGTTTTTTAATTTTCTTTTACAGTATTTTTTAACCAGTTTAGCATTTCATGTTTTTAAATTTTGTTAACAATTTTTTTTTTATCTGTTCAGCTTTTGTTGTTATTAAATTTTTTTTTTACCAGTTTAGCTTTTGTTGTTTTATACTTTGTTAACACAAATTTCTTTTACCAGTTCACATTTTGTTTTTTTTCACAGAAAATTAAAGAGTTGACCTACATGCACTCTGAAGGGATATTGGCAGGCGAGTTAAAACATGGACCCTTGGCTTTAGTGGACCATGCTATGCCAGTGCTGATGGTGTGCACTAAGGACAAAGTCTATTCAGTGAGTAAACACTTAAGTTATTTATAGTTTTAACTTAGATTGTTATTAAATTAAGGCCAGTTGTAAAGGATAATTGCTTCCTCTGTCCATTGTTAACCCAGTAATTTAATTTATTCCAGAAATGTGTAAATGCCCTGCAGCAAGTTAAAGCTAGACATGTAAGTGCTACTGGGGAATATATTTTAAACATAATTAACTCAGGTTTTATTCCTAGTCGACTTTCAAACTTCAGTGATTTGATGAAAATTAGTCATATTTTATTTTTTGTGGAGATAGTAATGATGTTTGCCAAGTTATAATGGGTCCTTCTTAAACACAAACTGTTGGTAATATTTATATAGTGAATTCAGACCTTGCAGGAAAAAATATTCTGCTCTAATTGAGCTGATCACATCCTATATGAACTTTGCCCTGAGCCAGCAAAAACTAATTTTTCCTATGTTTATAGTCATGTGCCTACTGCTACCATTATAAAGGTTTGATTAACATTAGAACACAAAGTTAAAACTTGCACAGTATAAGTGAAAAAAGCAAATAAAGTTCAGCAAGTGTCTGAAAGAAAATTTTGGAGTTTCCAATCTTGATCTATACTATAAAATCTTTGTGTTAGAACAATCCCATCCTGATCTATACTATAAAATCTTTGTGTTATAACAATCCCATTCTGATCTATACTATAAAATCTTTGTGTCAGAACAATCCCATTCTGATCTATACTATAAAATCTTTGTGTTAGAACAATCCCATTCTGATCTATACTATAAAATCTTTAAATGAGTGCAATCAAATTCTGATTTATACTACTATAAAATCTTTGTGTCAAAGCAATCCCATTTGGATCTAAACTATAAAACCTTTGCGTCAGAACAATAAAACCTGTTTCAGGGCAATCCCATCCTGATCTGTACAGAAGGTGATGAGGACATCCAGTCCATGGCCAGCCAGTACATAGAGGTCCCCCACACCATAGATTGTCTCCAGGGGGTTCTCACAGTCATTCCCATGCAGTTGTTGTCTCTACATATTGCAGAGCTGAAGAAACTTGATGTAAGATTTTTAAGCTTTTGCTCTTATTTCACAAAGTAGTATTTTTAAACTTTGAAAAACGTATTTCTATTGATGTGACTCACTTTCATGTTATCTTAGTTAGCTGTCTAAAGCAGATTAAAAACATCCAATGGTTTTAAAACACTGGATATTTATGTTGTCCTCAAACCAATTGTATCAACATCTTCTAAGCTGTTTTATGTCCAAAGTATTTCAAAAATTTTAGCATTTGAATGCAAAATGCAAATTTCCAGAACCTTACTGAATTGTAATCACATAAAAATGTGGAATAACAGATTGGCTCTATTTTATACAAATCTGCATTTTACAGTTCATTACACATTTCAATATATTTTTTCTTAAAGTCAACTTCTTGTGAATGATCTACTATCATTTTCTTTAATGTTTGAAGTATGAAAAAAAAAGGTTTTAAGTCAGTGAGAATAGCATTGTATGGGTGGTAGACATGTGAGAATAGCATTGTATGGGTGGTAGACATGTGAAAGACTTGTGAGAATAGCATTGTACGGCTGGTAGACATGTGAAAATAGCATTGTATGGGTGCTAGAATTGTGAGAATAGCATTGTATGGGTGGTAGACATGTGAGAATAGCATTGTACGGCTGGTAGACATGTGAAAGACTTGTGAGAATAGCATTGTACGGCTGGTAGACATGTGAAAATAGCATTGTATGGGTGCTAGAATTGTGAGAATAGCATTGTATGGGCGGTAGACATGTGAGAATAGCATTGTATGGGTGGTAGACATGTGAAAGACTTGTGAGAATAGCATTGTACGGCTGGTAGACATGTGAAAATAGCATTGTATGGGTGCTAGAATTGTGAGAATAGCATTGTATGGGTGGTAGACATGTGAGAATAGCATTGTACGGCTGGTAGACATGTGAAAATAGCATTGTATGGGTGGTAGACATGTGAAAGACTTGTGAGAATAGCATTGTACGGCTGGTAGACATGTGAAAATAGCATTGTATGGGTGGTAGACATGTGAGAATAGCATTGTAAGGGTGGTAGACATGTGAAAGACTTGTGAGAATAGCATTGTATGGGTGGTAGACATGTGAGAATAGCATTGTATGGGTGCTAGAATTGTGAGAATAGCATTGTATGGGTGGTAGACATGTGAGAATAGCATTGTACGGCTGGTAGACATGTGAAAATAGCATTGTATGGGTGGTAGACATGTGAAAGACTTGTGAGAATAGCATTGTGTAGGTGGTAGACATATGAGAATAGCATTGTGTAGGTGGTAGACATATGAGAATAGCATTATGTAGGTGGTAGACATTTGAGAATAGCATTGTATGAGTGCTAGACATGTGAGAATAGCATTGTATGAGTGCTAGACATGTGAGAATAGCATTGTATGAGTGCTAGACATATGAGAATAGCATTGTATGGGTGCTAGACATATGAGAATAGCATTGTGTGGGTGCTAGACATGTGAGAATAAATTTAGCATGTACATATTAGAGCACTTACATCAAACTAGCAAATAGATCATTTTACTGGCCAAGACTGATATAATTATAAAGAAAATACATTCTTCCTAGCCTTCTGTTTTTTGTTAACTACTCTGTTTATTTAATCTTCACACCACTGTAAAAATATGTGATACAAAATTCCTTGTTTTCTTATTTTTTTATATAATACATAGTGGAAGGAGGGGGTAATTTATAGGTTACATGCCTACTCTTTAGAGGGTAACCCTTAATTATAATAAAAAATACTCATTGAAGTAAGTTACATTGTCTTAGCATCATTTTTTCCTAGCTGCTGAAGTCTAACATTACTAATCCCTTATAATATTATCACCTGCATTGTGTTGCATCTGCCTCACAGGTAAAGTAGAGCAGGAAGATATAAATCACCAGTTAATGCTTTTTGCTGCTGCTTTTCTTTCTTTGTTACAAACAACCTTTAAAAGCTTTACTTAGCTTGGTCAAATGTTTTTTTCATATATGGATACTATGTGCAATGGAATAACTTCAAATTATATTTTCTAATTTGGACTTCTTATATGTATGTCCACATAATTTACTTAAATGGGAATATTAGATACACATAGTATAAATATTTATATATATATATGTATGTACATGTGTACATAGTATTGAGCTCATATATTGGACTAAAAAATGGAGTACATTATCTTATTTAAACTAGATTTCTATGACGTAGTAAATGTCCTAGGTTACAAATAAGTTAAATTGTCATGTCAACATTTACCATGTTTTTTAACCATCACCTGACTAATTAATTAGTCTGGATGAAATTGCAATGAAGCGAAAGTAGAGCACGCCTATCACATGTGAAGTTTAAACACATGACTTTGTGTAGTTTTTGTTTTACAATTATTTTGTAAAACCTCAAGAATGAACCATTACTAACTTGACATGTGATAATTAGTTCATAAAAACGAACCAGTGACAAAAGTTATAACAAATACCAGTAAAGTACACTATCTCTATAATAAACTAGATAAATGGCCCGTTGAGGAAGGGTACAACGGGCGCTAGGCTGATAGTGCTGTCTCTTTTCTCTAAACTAAAACCAACCCACCCCCCCACACACCACCCCCACCCCCACCCCCCCCGACCCCCAGACACCACCCCCACCCCCCACCACACACCACCCCCACCCCCACACACCATCCCCACCCCCCACCCCCACCCCCCACACACACCACCCCCTCCACACACCGCCACCCCCACCCCCCCCACCCCTCCAACCCCCCCCCTCCACCGCCCCCCCCCCCCAAAAAAAAACCATGTCTACTGTCCCATTCAACGAAATATAATTATATACTTTTTCCAGTGTCCGCCCCCTCCCAGAAAATTCTACCCCCGCCCCCGAAAATTTCAAGTACCCCCACCCCTCTCCGGGGAGGAAAAAGTCTGAAAGAAACACTGAAACCAACCCACCCCCCACACACCACCCCCACCCCCCACACACCACCCCCACACCCCCCCCCCCCACACCCCCCCCCCACCCCTCCACACCCCCCCCACCCCTCCACCCCCCCCCCCCCCCCAAAAAAAAAACATGTCTACCGTCCTATTGCAAGAAAACCACTTTTTAGATTAGACACATTAATTTTATTATAGAGTATCGATGAGGAAATTTCTTTTGAGTTGGGGAGGGGCTCAGACGTTCTTACGCGGGGGGTGGGGCTTCGCCCCTACCCGAAGAATTGTATGCAAGAAACTCTTCACGCAAACCACTTAGATTAGACCAAATTGCCTTTGTATTGAATATGTTTACTCGATAATCAATGACGTCATATAACTGTGTGCACTCTCTGGGTTTGAGATTATTTTCTACTCTGTGCGCTAAATGTGTCGACGTCATACTTCGTTTTTCGAATTACTGTGCATGTTTTTAAATTGCTTGTCTTTTCTCTAGAGCGTTCTTGTCAGACAGATAGATAGATAGAGAGACAGCGAAACTATTATTATAGATACGAGAAAAATGGCCCGTTGAGGAAGGGTACAACGGGCGCTAGGCTGATAGTGCTGTCTCTTTTCTCTAAACTAAAACCAACCCACCCCCCCCCACACACCACCCCCACCCCACCCCCACACACCACCCCCACCCCCACCCCCCACCACACACCACCCCCAACCCAACCCCTCAACCCCACACACCACCCCCACCCCCCACCACACACCACCCCCACCCCCACCCCTCACCCCCACCCACCACCCCCTCCACACACCGCCCCCCACCCCCCACCCCCCCCCCCCCCCAAAAAAAACATGTCTACCGTCTCATTCAACGAAATATAATTATATACTTTTTCCAGTGTCCGCCCCCTCCCAGAAAAATCTACCCCCGCCCCCGAAAATTTCAAGTGCCCCCACCCCTCTCCGGGGAGGAAAAAGTCTGAAAGAAGCACTGAAACCAACCCACTCCCCCACACACCACCCCCCACCCCCCCCCCACCCCCACCCCCCACACACACCACCCCCCCCACCCCTCCACCACCCCCCACCCCCAAAAAAAACATGTCTACCGTCCCATTCAACGAAATATAATTATATACTTTTTCCAGTGTCCGCCCCCTCCCAGAAAATTCTACCCCCGCCCCCGAAAATTTCAAGTACCCCCACCCCTCTCCGGGGAGGAAAAAGTCTGAAAGAAACACTGAAACCAACCCACACACCACCCCCCCCACCCCCACACACCACCCCAACCCCCCCCCACACCCCCCCCACACCCCCCCCCCCCACACCCACCCCCCCCCCCAAAAAAAAAACATGTCTACCGTCCCATTGCAAGAAAACCACTTTTTAGATTAGACACATTAATTAGGCGGTAATTTTATTATAGAGTATCGATGAGGAAATTTCTTTTGAGTTGTGGAGGGGGGGGGGGGGGCTCAGACGTTCTTACGCGGGGGGTGGGGCTTCGCCCCTACCCGAAGAATTGTATGCAAGAAACTCTTCACGCAAACCATTTAGATTAGACAACATTTCCTTTTTTTCAATGTTTACGCGATAATCAATGACGTCATTTTACTGTGTGCACTTTCCGCCTTGAGATTATGTTCTACTCTACGCTAAATGTGTCGACGTCATATTTTGTTTTTCGAATTACTGTGCATGTTTTTATTTTGCTTGTGTTTTCTCTAGAGCGTTCTTGTCAGACAAAGCGTTCTTGTCAGACAGCGAAACTATTATTATAGATTTGATTGGGTTTGAGTGCATAAACCATGGTTAGAATAAAGAATTAATTTTGTAATACAATCTCTCTCAGGTTGACTGTCCACGAAATCTGGCTAAATCTGTCACTGTGGAATAAATTCCTACCCCTCCAGCCCTTCCTTACCTGTAAGACATAGCTCTCTTTCTAATCTTCTAGTTAAAGAATGGTGGCTCTACTGAAATTGTGTGGGTGTAAAAGTATTGGCTGTAGTGGCATTTAATTTACCCATTGTTTAGACAACACATTTAGAGTTGTTTCCCCTTTGTAACTACTATATCAAATAGCCTTACGGGTTTCCTCCCCCTGATAAAAGATGCTCACACAAGTTTTTTTTTGTTCGTCAACTTGTTAAATATATTTGTGTTACTCATTTCTTTTTTGCAGTTTAGTAGGTTCCAAGATTTAACTTTAAGATTCAGCAACTAAAAAATGTTTGCTTATTAATACTAACTTTCTGTCCTTATAACTTTATGCTTATGGTACTACTTATAAGCCTAAAAAAATAATTTTGAAAATATATTTGCTAGGTTTTCTGAAATTTTCTCTACAACAGTTTTTGTGAAGTTTCTTGTAGGACCATTTTTAGTTTTTCAATTTAAGGATATTTTAACAGATAATAACGAACAAATAACGAGGTGGCGGACAAAAAAAAAGCACATTATGTTCAAAGTTAAAATGAGTTTGGTTTTATTATTTTTTCTAATACTCATGAGTCATAGAATTGTGATGTCCTGCTTGCATTAGTTTTGCATTTTTTGGGAGAAAGTTTGTAGTTGTTCATTTAAAATGTTATTAAATTACCTTTTAAGGCTGAGGTGAAATAAATACTTTAAAATAACATTGCATGCAACAAATTAAATATTTTCTTTTTAAATTCTCTAATTGCTATTTTTTTACCATTTTCCAGACTGATAGACCTCGCCACCTTCTAAAAACATATACAAGCTAATGGTAAAGAGCTGTATTATTAAAAAGCCAAATGTAACATGTAAATGAAACAATTAATCATATAAAAAATGCTAGTTCAAAACAATAATTTACTGTGCCACCTGGCAAGATGTGGTTATAAAAACATGCTGTTGCTATTTCCTTTTCTGTTTAAATGTGAAACATTAAACAAAGTAAAAAATATATAAATAGTTGAAATCTAAACAGTTGGAATTTATGTCACAAGATTTAGCTAGGGCTGTGTAAGAGAAATGTAGTTAGCTGTTACATAAACATGTCGTGCTCAGGTAAGGTTTTTATTTCTTTGAATCTCAGAAATCTCATGTCACTGTTGCCAGTGTTAATTGTTTTGGATACATTTTATTTATTATATCTGACGTTTATGGATCTGTTTGTACATGTACTAGTATTCTGATTTAAACATACCAGTACTTAATGATGTTATCTAATTACAATCTCATTTTTTTTTGTATCTTCAACTTATTTACTTTAATTATTTAATTGCTTAATGCAACTATGTGCTTTATTATTTACTCTTAAACTTAAATTTTGTTAATTTTATGTACCAGTAGTTAAATTAACTTTATGTATCAGGAATGAAAATTGTAATTACTGCAAGTCTGTGAGTAAGGACTTGTTTCTAAAACTGTAGCGTACTAGGAATAGCTGATACAATCTTATTTAGCTTAATTGAATTATTTCCCATTTAATTTACTGCAATAGATTCACTGCTACTGATAACAGTTAAGTTTCTCAGTTTTCATTAGTTTTAAGGGGATATGCGCGGAAAAAATCACAAAATTTCTTGTTTTTCGTCATGATGGGTTTCTTGCACTTTTGGATACTTTGTCCATTTGTGTATATAGAAAATAATAACTTTAAAGAGAAAAAAATATTGTATGTGTTTGAATTACGATTTGTATGACCCTATTAATAAAAAAATAATCAATTTTTCCCAATCTTACAAGCTCTCTATGAAAAGTTTTATATCCGTCATTATATCGTATTTGACATCATTGGAAAGCTGGATTTCTCATGTATTTAATAAACTTAATTTCCTACATCTCGGAAACACCCAAAGCTTACAATCGGCTTTGCAGTTTACACAGATATGGTACTTTCCTGACCTAGTTTTCGTTACTTTTAGCTGTTTTTCTCAGTTCGCAGGTTTTTAACACTAAAAAGCCTACTACTTTTTTATTTATTAAACAATGCCAACCATGTTTTCAGTAAATGTTCTTGATGCAAAAATACAACTTTTGTCACGAGGGAATTGTGATTGCTTTCATAGAAAAAAAGTATTTGGTAATTAATATGCACATTTTGAAACTTTTGAATACTAAAAAGGGTACGATTTTTTAGACCTTGTAAAATTCTTACTAGTAATTATTTCAAAAAGTTGTCGTGACAAAAGTTTTAATATATACTGAAATATAAGCAGTTTAAATTTGATTGCTATAGATGCATAAATAAAAAAGCCTTAGCATTTTTTAAAGTACCGAAAAATTCAAAATGGCTGAGGTTTTTTGGTTTCCATGACAACCAAAATTGTTTTCGACCCTTTTCTTTTGCTGTTAAATACTTTCTTTTATATGCCAAATATGATTAAAGTATTCAAAAGGCTTTAGATCTTAAACTGTAAAAAATAGAAAAAAACATAGCATATCCCCTTAAAGTTTATTCTGTTACACACAAAATGTTGTTCAAAATGTAGGTGCTTGTGTATTCATTTTTTCCATTGTGTCTTGAATGATTTACAAATTTGGGTTTATTATTTATTTTTAATACTACACAAAATATGTTTTTTTTTGTGAACTGAGTTTTATTCATTTATTTAGCAATATATTTTTCTTAAGAACTTTATTTATAAGTATGAATTTATCATCCAAACATACAAAGGACCAATAGTTTTAGATACATAGTTTACAATTCTATCTACAAAAAATTTGCTCATTTTTATTTTATTCTAACAAAAAGATAAAGTAAAGCCATTAACTGCTGCTATATTGCAGTTTCTTTTAAAAAAATCTCTATGATTATGATGTATACTTACCCAAACTGAGGATGTATTACATTTTTGTGCCTTTTGTCAGTTTGTGGTTGAAGCATTATAATGTTTTTATTTATCCTACATGGTACGGAAAAAGCTTGGTATTAACTGTCTAACATTAAGTATAACTAGACTGAGAGTATAGTAGAGATTGCACTTGATATTGGTGTAGCATTTTACTTTCAAAACAAACAAATCAACTACTGCTCCTAGAAATCTTACAGTGGATGATCTGCATAATGAATATTTTTGGTAACTAGAACAATGCAACTCCCAATAATCTTACAAACCATATGCTACTCCCAAAATCTTACATACTTAATCATGTAGTCATTTTCAAAAAAGTTCCCATATAATACTGATATAGAGGGCAGATGAAGTACTAGTAGAGTTCATATTTCTTGACCTCGGTGTATGAAGGGATGGTGTGGTCAACAGTTTACCCAGCCACCTTTACTTAATTTAATGTGAGTCAGGAAGTCATCAGAGCTGGGTAGGCTCAAAGATGTCCTCCAAGCACGAGTGTGAGATCCATACTCTAGACCTTTGGGCTAGCAGTCGAGGTCTATACCACTCAACCACACCGCACCACTTTTCTGTAGTCATTTAACCCCTTAAAATGGCATCACAAAGGTTTACCCATCTCACTCTCCCTCATAACCAATCATAATTCTTATGACAATAATTTTTTAATTAATGAAAATTGAATGCTACATCCCATTTCTTAATCCACCCCTCCCGCCTCCCCACACATAGCATATCACCACATGATTCAGATTGCTCATTCCACTTACTGATATGTGACATTAGTTATGAATAGCCCTTTATTTTGCTAAACAAATTGAGAACACAAGGTTTTAATAAAGCTAAAACCCTTAGAAGATAGAAGACAGTAACTGTAGTAATCCAAGCCTGAGAAATAAATGTTAAGATCAAATTTGCTGTTTTGTCCACATGAGGATATGTTGTTAAAGAAGTATTTGCCTGTGTAAATATTCTATTGTTGGTGATATAGCTGCTTTGGGCTGGGCTAATAGGAAGCTTTTAGTGCTAGTATTCCAATGGTTTAATGGACTGGGTAAATAACATATCATGATTAGGTCTGCTTATTAATGACTATATGCAGCCAGTACATGGCATATTTAATGCTGAATTATCTGGGATTTTTCAGTTGTTTTGTGGGAAATCAATTTATCTTTTATTGTTCCTAAATTTTATTTTGAAAAATATACATTATAATTATACATTATTTGTTGGAAAAAAATAAAGATTGGAAGATTATATTTTGTTGTCATATGATTGAAATGTAGATGTTCAATTGGTTACCCATATAGAGGGGTTTGTGGTGGTGTGGGTACCTTATCCAAATAGAGGGGTTTGTGGAGGTGTGGGTACCTTATCCAGGTAGAGGGGTTTGTGAAAGTGTAGGGGCGGAACTACCATGCCGCCAGACCCGCAGTGCTGGGGGGGGGGGGGGGGGGGGGGGGGAGGGGAGGCAGACCATAATTAATATTTAATTTATTTTTTTTTGCATTTTTGCCTTGATGTTTGGTTGTAAAAAAAATATACTATTATCTTTATTTTACAATCACTATACCACGCCCTTCCGTAAACACTAAAAACAACTACACAAACTGTAGTGTAAAAGATATGAAAAACCACATTTTTAATGACTTTTGTGACTCGTTGCTCCCCTTTGATAGCCATAACACGTTCTCTCATTGGCCGGTCCTCCAAAGTGTTCTGTGGCGGGATGGGGTAGGGGGTGGGGACCAAATAGGGGCTCGTAAATTGTCACCAAATGTACAAAGTCCATAGCTCGATGAGCCGCTAGATATGTACGTTACTTCTTTGTGGAAATCCGTTGTACATTTTTCAATGTAAAATATGTGTTTGTGATATTGGTAGAACTTTTATCCTGTACTATCCTGTATCCTACATATAATTAAAAAGAAATTAAGTACTAGTAAATTCGGTTTTATATACGTTTACTTGTTTTTACAAGAAATGTGATAGTAAGCTTGTAGCGTATGGTCTATACTTTGAATTATCTCCCTTGAAAAAGTACCATCCCAAATTCTGACGATGCTGATGTACATCGGCACTTTGTTGTCTCTTTCAAGTTGTTTTTCTCGAGCCGACCCCCACCCGCCCTTATTTCTTAGCCTTGTAAGTATCGAATAGATAAATGTATCGTTTGTGAACTGCTATATAAGGGGTCATCCATAAATGACGTCACGCTTTTTTTTTGACGATTTTTATCTCCCCCCTCCCCTCCGTCACACATCGTCACAAAAAGCCAGACCCCCCCTCCTCCCTAAAATGACGTCACACCTCAGCCTACAACGCCCAACGGAAAGATATGATTTAGCACCCAGAGATCCCCATTGGCTATCTTTGGGATCCGCTTATTGTGTGTCCTGCACAGGGGGATATGATGATAGGGTTACTACTCGAATTCACCGGGGACAGTGTCATCCGGAGCTTATTACACATGAGCAGTGTGGCCCCTACAGTCGTTTAAAAGTGCACACTACACTAGGGATAAGTCTCGCTACTACATTCGATGACTAAATCTAACCAGCGGTTGCACCCATCATCCGTGCAGAAATGTGGTGGCTCCCAAGAGCCCCGTGACGCCCCCAGTGTTTCTTCCACTTTTTTTTTCCGGGGGGGGGGGGTACTTGAAATTTTCGGGGGGTGGGCGGTAGACTTTCTTTGGGGGGGGGGGGGGGTGGGCGGAAATTGTTAAAAGTATATATTTTCTATATAAATTTCGTTCGGGGGGGGGGGGGGGGGCGGTAGACTTTCTTCGAGAGGGGGGGGGGGCTTCAAAGAGATGCCTGGAAGAAACTCTGGACGCCCCTGACAACTGGGCTGTCGCTGAGGGGTGATCATCGTCAACTGAAGCTTACAGCATGCCCTGTGGTGTCTCGTTGATAGTGTGGACAAACCCGCGCCCCAACAATTAAGATCCAATTAAGATCCAGTTCGCATTTAGTTACACTTCTGGAAAACAAAGCACACGTCTAA